AGTGTAAAACAGCAAAATCAACTTAGGGTTAACAGCATTGTAGGCCTGAATTGTGATGGAAAACACACAAACACAACACAATTGCACTTTTCCTTAGAAACACCAGAATGTCCATTCTATATCAAATGTATTAATATAGATAAAAGTGACAATCTATTCCAGGAAGAATCAAAAATGTATTGCATATATTAATATGTTCCTTAATGATATCTCTAACCCTAATATAAATATTTAAAGACATTTAAAGGCCTTAGGATATGAATTTAGGAGTATTATTTTCTCCTTCCCTGTAAGCTTTCCTCCATTGTCATTCTCTTCCTCCTCACTCCCCTTCTCCTCTTTTCCTGGCCCAAAACATGTATGAACTGCATACCCTATGTGAGGCACTATGCTAGGCAGTGGGGGCTCTTACTTCCTAGTCTTCAGGTCCTATCTTTTTAATAGTCTTTTCTTATTTCACTGCTAGGTCCCTGAACTCTTAGCCAGTATGTCAGTTGGGCACACCTACAAACATAGACATGGTAAAAAAAAAAAAATGTGGAGGATCATCTCGCCTTGAATAATCTTAGTTGTTACAAGTGCCATGTGTCAAATAATCAATGCAGATAAAAGAATTTGGGGATTTTATTTCTAAGACACGCTTCCTCAGAGCCAGGGGCTTTGACACGGACATTGAAGGTTGGAAGTCTTTGAGAAGGCAGTGGCAGAATTATTTCAGGTGCAGGAATGGCCAGAGAAAATGCAAGACAAACTTTGTGGGGGCAATGAGCAAATCAGCCATACAGTGTAGAACATCCCTATTTAGAAATAGACAATGACACAGTTGGAAAGAAAGACTGAAGCCAAATAGTATAAGATCTAAAAAGGTTTGACATTTTAAAATTGTATCCTGTTGGCTCTGGGGAATCCTTGAATGCCGAAGAAAATAACATAATAAAACTGTCAAGGTAGTTATGAGGCACCTGTATTCTCAGGGCATTGACTTAGGCAATAAAGTACAGGGTTTTAAAGCCTGTTCTAGCCACTGCTTTATTCTGAACATCTTGAACAAGCCTAGGACATTGTAGAGGCTCAATAATATGTGTTGAATATCAAGAAAAATTAATAGCACCGGAAGGACCTAGATTTTAAGTCATCTCAGCTGCTTGTTAGCCCTGTGACCTTGAAGAAGTTATTTAACTTCTCAAAACCTCAGTTTCCTCATCTACAAGCAGGAGTAATGATGCTACCATTCTCATAAAGTGATTGAGAAGATTAAATTAGAAAATGAAGGTAAAGGGCTTAGCACACTGTCTGACATATAGAAGGTAAATGTTAGCCATTGATAATTAGAATTAGAAATCCCTTAAAATAATATAGGAAGCCTTGGAAGGAAGCATAAAAACAATAAAACCAATTTAGTGTCTGCTGCAGAGTGGTACTGAATAATAAGGAAAATGGGATAAATTTAGACTTTCTAAATACATATCAATAAGATAACTTCTTGAAGTACATTCTGACTGTTTTACTAATATCTTCTTCTAAATTGGTGTATATATATATTTTATATATATATACACACACACACACACACACACACACACACACATACACACTCTGGTTTCACTTCAGATTGTATAAATCTTTCCCTTTTTACTAAATTGGTATATATGCCTAGAATATATCTTAAGCCATTTAAAGAGTAGAAAAGAGAAATATACACTCCAAAATAATATGGATTGTGATGTGTGATTCACCGATGATGTGTAAATCACTAGTAAGATTCCCATAATCTACAAAAGCAGGAAAATATATAAAATACTGAACTAATGGTGACAAATCAAGATCCACAAGAATAGTGTCTGGCACATGGTAGGCACTGAATAAACATTTGATGAATGAGTAAAGGAATAAATGAATGCTTTCTAAATCCATATGGGAGGAGATTTTTAAAATAATTCATTTGACTTCCATGTTTCCAATTTCTAGCAAACTGAATTCTTCAAATATTTTCTGGAAATTCTGCATGTTTTAAGATCTCTACAGTAAACTATGTTAAAACACTTGAGATTGTGATAATTAACTACAAATCATATGTTCCTGACCACTGTGTGTTACCTTGTCTCTCTCTAAGGAAACTACTAGCCTACTAGTATACTTCAGTAACTGCATTTGAACTACGAACTCAATTGTCAGAAAAACACAGGACATTCACAGACTTATAAATCACAAGCATGCTGTGCTTAAATAATGTCAAGTAACATAAAAGGCATGAATGCATGGCTTAGAGATATTAGTAAGGATGCAAAAAGGTTTTGTACAATATACAGTATAGTATTCTAGGATCATAAAGTCTAGCAACTTTAGAAGGATTAAGGGACATAACGAGCCTATAGAGCCCTTCTCTTGGAAAAGAGATTATAAACACAGTTAAGCAAATACGATGCTCACATTTTAAAATCTGAATAAATTATTAGTGAGTCCTAGAGTGTGTAATTAAGCTTTCTAGGATAACTTTTTTCTTAAATCATTCTGCTAGCATTTAAGCAACAGCTATCCAACTGATAGCGAAACAAATGAAAATTTGCTGTTGGATTACAAAGATGATTACATACAAAACCTGTAGATAAAGCTTTACCATGTATCCTTGCCAACAAGGTAGAACAGTAACTTGGAGTGATATTTTTACTAGCTATCTAAGAGGGCCCCTCCCTGACAGTGCATTCTGTATAATAAATTTCCTAGATGATGCTCTGTTTTGTGGAAAATAAACCAAGATAGCTGAAGAAAAGATTTTATTGAATTGCACAAATAACCGGCTACTACTAAGAAAATCCATATCCTAATATCAATCCCGTGGACATACCAAAGCCAACTCTGTTAGCACTTCATACACAATTTCTAATGAACCAAGTTTTAGCCTTTCCCCCACCTCACCCAAATTCAGGCAAATGGGTCAGATAAATAGCTTCAAAGTCAATACACCTTTCTAGGTGACAGATAAGAATAATGGCACAGCACAAAGACAAAGGCAGAATTATAGTAGGCAGAAAGGAACTATAAGTAAGTATTATAATAGCTGATCTGTAATAGTGGTATTTGAAAAGGAACATAATGACAAAAAGAAAGCAAACTTGGAGAAATGTAGTAAACATATCAGGAGAGAATAATGTAATCAGATGCCAGAGCTTAATTTTACTTCTATAAAAAATTACACTAATGGTGTGTTAATTCAGCAGTATTATATTCTGACTAATTATTTGCTATAATCAAGTTAAATTGTATAAAAATTTGTCTAATTAGCATTTAGAACAAAGCAGTCTGGAAGCTATTGGCTTTGTGTAACTTGCACAGAAAAATTGATGTAAGGATTTCATTTTGACTTACATGAAAATTGATCTAATATGTCATAACTTTAGCTCCCAAAAGATTTGATTCTTTAAAAGCTATGTGATTAACTTTACTTATGTGTACATCTCCTGAAAGAATTGAGGTGCAAAGATGTTCCTGGTAACATTAGCTGTAATCTTATTAAGTTTATATCTCTGCACTTACCTATTTAATAAAGATAACTATAACAACAGCACATTTACATACTTTTTTATTTCTTAATCCAATTTTAAATTTTAAAGTATATATGACATCTGGCAAACAAAGTAAAACTAAGCAAAGTAAAATCACTCAGCATTTATTCCTTCTTTCCTTTTTCTTTTCTCAGCTTTCTCTGACTTGCATGTCTCTTTGTTTTTTCTCCTTAAACTACAAACTATCGTATCAAATATTCCTCCCTTTAAGACACTCCTAATTCTCCTAAGGAAGTGTCGAATTAAAGTAGGCACAATCTGGAAATACTCACTGTTTTATCTCAAGAGTTCAATGCAATTGCTTCATCTGAGATAAATGCATGAAGGCTTTTCTGAAATAACTTTTACATAAGGATAAAATGATTTCTATACAAGAAACAATTACCAGCCAACGTTATTATCACCACAAAATTGTAAGCTAGAATGAGCAATAAAAACATTGTATTTGGAACAAGATATTAGAGAATAGCTATTAAAATATTTTACTCAATTTCTATTACACCTTAAAATGAAAGTCATCAAAATGTCATTACAGGCCTTTTCCCCAGATTCTTCAGAGAGTGAATTTAATCATTTCAGGAAATTGAGCACTATCCACCATTCACTTAAATCCTTTGAAATAACAGCAAAGCAAAACACAATGTGAAATTTATAAGACACTTTATATTAAAATGTGTTCATATACATACATAGATACATACTGAGGAGTACTTGTCTCTGAATACCTAAAATTAATTCTTGGGAAATTAACCACTTATATAAAATATTACCTTCAAGAGGACTTGAAGTAAGAAATCCAAGTAAAGGAGCCTCAAGTTGAGCTCTATAAAATCCCAGAGTTAATAAAGCACTAACATATCAGGGTTTTTTAAAAAATATCTTCAAAAATCAATTATTTGGAAATTACTTCAAGCCACAATTATTACTTGTATACTGAAGCATGGAACTTTTGCTGCTGCTCTACTAAAGAAAGCTAAACATTGGTTGAATAAGTGCGATTACAATAATATAGGCATGGTTATTGGCTCCTTTAGAAAACTGGTACTTCATAAAGAATTTTCAAGCCAGAAGAGACCTTTTGACATCACCTAACCCTGGTTCTTAATTTACTAGTTCTAGAAATAAAATCCACATAACATAAGTATTAATTTTATTGATCTCCAAAATGATCATTTTCTCTAAAGAAATGAAAAGCTGCTTATTTTCAAGGCTGAAGGGAAACATAGGGAGCACCTGATTGCATTTTATCACCAAAGTTAGCCAATCTTCAGAAAATGACTAACAATCAAATTTTCTAAGCCCTTCTCTTTAAACCTTTAATGTTTAAAAAAGTCAAATTTTAAATAATTATATTTAGAGAGCAGTTTTCTAATGCTACTGGCAAGAAGAAGAGGAAATGTTTTGAAAATTGCACTTTTAAAAATGTTGAATGTTTACCTTTTGATTTGAGGAGGATGTCACTTCTCATGGAACCCATTTTCCTGAAGATATTCAGCGCTGGCCGATTTAGAATAAAACTATTAGCATATTACTTTAAAAAATAAAAAATAAAAATAAAAAACTTTACTACAAAGCCACAATCTCACTCGGAAGGAAGCTGATGGTGCTTATAAGCAATAAATGCCTTTCCTGATACCTATTTTGTCATCACCATCTTATTATCAGAGTGCATATTTTCTGCAGCATCCATCAATTAGCCGTTTTTAAGGAAACGGGAAATGTATCAGGGCTCATCTGCTAAGCAAGGCTGTATACTCCATAGCCTCTTAATCACCACGGCTCCTTTCTAACAAGGTTCTAGAAGACAAGGAAGCCTAGAGACCATTAAGTAGCACACCAGCAGAATATTCCCAGGAGTCACCAATATTGGATACAACTTTCCCCCAAAGAACCCGCCTGCGACTGAAGGCGACAGAGCCGCCCGTAGCAGAGCCACAGCACATCTGCCAGCTTGTGCCTTAGCGCTTGGCAATTGCAAAGCAGAGCCCAATACCATCAGACAAACTACTCCTGACTTCTTACTCCCTCAGCAGAATCCAGGCACTTGGAGAGAGCCTGATGGTTTCACAGGCACCCCAACTAGAGAGAAGGTAAGGAAATGGAAGGCTCACCCTTTCATAGTCAATCCACCTAGAGCTGCATCATCCGAATCACAAATGAAATGCTAATGTACAAGAAAATGAATGCCAATTTCCTCCACTTTGCTCCAAGTTTCAGTGGCCCCTCCACAATAAAAGATAGCTGTTTGTGGAGGCTGCCTTGTTCCATACCATTAACTCGGAACAAAACATATTTTTAGTGGGACAGCAGTGTTTACTTGTAAGAACTGATGAATTGCTCGGCACCATTTATCACTTGCAGACAAAGACGTTCAGCCACAATTTTGGACATAAATCAAGGTACATGCTCCTCAATAAAAAAAGACTGCTAAGTCCCCCAAACCACGGAGATTGAGGTCAGACTGGCCATAGCAACCACGAACAGGACTTGGGCCTCCAGAAGGACCTAGCAACCGATAAATGAGTTCAGATCTCTTTTCATCTCCACTGGTGTGAAAGCCAAAATTAAAAAGATTAGATCACCCTGCACCCATTACAAAAGGCGCCACAATGAAAAAGTCATTTCCAGCCTTTGAATCACATCAAATAAATAACATTCATCCCTGCTATAATGAACAACTTTCAAAGTAAATTGAATCTCCATAGTACTGCTTTCCCTGGCTGAACAGTATTTACATAACAATATATCACAGGAAGCTCCGAATGGGTCTTATAAATGGGGACCTGGGGATAAAAAACATCTTTAGCCCCGATTACTGTATATTCAGACTGCTTTTCCGTCCCCCTCATTTAAACAATGTGTTGTATCAGGAACATAAACAATGTTTCTAAATTGTGGGAAATGAAAGTTTTTGGTACATTTTCAAATGTCTGCACTCATCCCAATAGATCCCCTTTTGTGGGGCACTGAGAACATAAAAATCACTTAACCTCCTAAATCGATGTCCTGGACTCATTTTTGTGACAAAGAGTTCTCATCTATGTGTACACTTGCTTCTTTGTTCATGCCAGCAATGTTTCACCCTAAATATCTGCTGAGTTTCTTTGTATCACTTAAAATGAAAACACATTTGCAGATTTCTTTTTAGCGTGCGACTCATTCATTATTTCTTATTTCCTCGAAAGTATAAGATATTCTCCATTGCCATAACAATAATGTCTATTAAGTTTTGGTAATATGTCTACACAAAGTGTTCATCCTCTACAGTCTAATTTTGAGTCAATTTCTCCTCGTCACTGAAAAAAAAAAACCGACTAATTTCCAAAAACATAGAGGTTTCTATAAACTATTGTACATTTCATATATATTTCAAATGGAGTATATTCCAAATAAGACAGTTAAATCTATGTTGAAAACATACCATCATAATCTTATCTTTTTATGGCAGCTCACGTAGATATTACTATTTGAACTCCACAGGGACTCTCATTAATTTTTGAAACTCTCTGACCTCAGTACAGTTGAGTGTAAAAATAATTACAAATTAAGAATGAAAGAGCATCCCTTGAATTCTGCATGGCCATATGCTGCTCTACGTTGCACAAAACATTGCTAACTATCATCAAACAGAATTTTTTTCCAGATATAAATTTAAACAGCATGCTGAATATCACCAGACACAAAAAGCAGCTCACCCTTCCACTCAGCTCTGCTCACACTTCACCTCCGACGATTCCAGTAACACAAAGCCCCGAGAACACAGGTTTGCAGGCAAGTGACAGCACAGATGATACCCTCACAAAAATATTTTCCTATCCAGAGTCGCTTTCTATCTCAATGTTGCAGACACAAAGTGCAGAAATACAAGAATCAGGGCGTAAATGTTTTCTTACCTAAAACTTGTCTGAAGGACGGTCTTGTTATTGTAGTCACCTCCGGTGCCCCCTCTCGCCATCGCGGAAATCGGCTCCACTATATGTACTGCTCTGTGCCTCAGTTACAGCTGTGACACTCATCTGCCTGCACAGAACCTATGAGGGGAAATGAGAGAAAGAGAGAGAGAGGATTTGCGCTTGTGTATATGTGTGCTTGAGTGTGTGTGTGTGTGTGTGCGTCCCTGTGTGTGTGTGTGTTTGAGAGAGAGAGAGAGAGAGAGAGAGAGAGAGACTGCTGACTTGAGACTAAGAACCTAAAATCTCCAGCCAAGTCAAGCCTGAACAAAAATGATCAAAGCTCTGTCCTTCATCAAGAGAGTAGACAGATATTTTGTTCTCCTCCACTGAAAAGTGGGACTGTCATTGGGGATTCTCACCAGGAAAGTGCAGACAGCGGCAGACCTTCTCCAGAGTGCTAGTGCTGCCCAGCAGTCCGTGCGGAATACAGGTACCTATTGTTCCAGAGACAGATATGTAGCCAGCCAGTCAGACTCTGACAGATCTCAGCAAACCAGCGAGCCTGCCTTCATTTTAACTCCTTATTTACTAGTGCTTTTTGGTCAAATGCAAGGTCTTCTCATCACCCCTGAGAAATAAATGGAGATGATACAGATAAACTCACAGCAGAAACTAATCCTGTATCTTTTACAAAGAGGGACTTTTTTGCTATTGAAACGCTGAATTTGATGCAAATATCTTATTTTTCTGGGAAGAAATGAAGCATTAGGTTACATGAGCAAGACTTAGCAAGTATAGGAAAACCTTGATATTCAAGATGAACAGTGCAGCCGATTTAAAAAGAGAGAAATAAGGGTTGCTCAAAACATCCCAAGTGTAAATATATATACTCCAACACAAACAGGGCGAATAAAGCCAAGGGGTCCTATCCTTTTGCAAAGGGGTGTGGCACATTGAAAACCTGCAAAAAAAAAAAAAAAAAAAAAAAAGCCACCCCAGTAGACCTATTTCCCTAGAGGCTAGAGTCTTTGGCGTCTCTTTTTTAGATCCCACTGCTTTCTCAAGCACCCCAAAACACCTCCCACCCGCAGTACTGCTCCAGTGTCTGAATTATACCTAAGGCAGTGACACAAAATTAGGGAAGGTCAGAGAAAAATAACTTACTCTACATTCTCCCCGATGGATTCTGAAACCCAGAAGGTACATTTGATTCTTTAAATTCCTGGACCTTAATAGATTCCAGTAGGTTTCTAACTTTTATCTTTGTGTATTAATTGATTGATTTTCTTTTAAGGAGTTAAAGAAGACAAAATACCTTGCATTTGATTGTTTAGCAATACTAGAACACAAGGAATAGAAAAACGAAAAGTAGTTGTCATTTAGTTAAAATAAGAGATGGAACTCTCCTTCCCCAGAAGACTTTATATACAAGCTCTTTGAATTTTTTTTGAATAAACATCAATTCTCATTAATTGCTACCATTCACCCAAGAAACATATTCTGATATAGTAGGTGTGCTGCATAGTGTAGAAAATGGTTATGAAACTCCTTTGTAAAATCCACACTCAGGCATCACTTAACAAAGCCAGAGGGTAAATCCTCAGTGCAATAGGGGGAGGTTTAGCCATGCATGGCAGTTAATGGTAATGAGACGTGTAGAACATATCTGCGCACTGCCAAACAGCTTCTTCTAAATATCTAGTGTTTGTGTTCTTTATTTTTTAGAAAGAAATTAATAAGAGATTGCATGATGTTTCAAAACTCCGCACGCACAAAAAAAAAACAACCTAGAAAATACAGTTACCTCCTTTCACATTGTCTCTTGTCCTAATCCCAGCATTTTAAAAACATTTCAGGTCATGCCAATTTAGCTAGGACTGAGCAATTAATATAGCCTTTAGAAATGCTTTCAGAAGTCAAAATTGCTTAACTTGGTGACTTCTGAAAAAGCTGCCTTGCAGTTTCTACTCAGGGAGAGCTTCTATTATGTTCAGAAGGGAAAGGACGTCAAAAGACTGCCTGAATGACGAGAAAAGTATACGGGGTTTCTGACTAAATTCATCATAACCTATAAGCCAAGAACAAAACAAGAGAATCTTGTAGCCTGCTTCTTCTAAGTGGCGTGAACTGATGATTTTCAAGCCCATTTTAAAGAACATGTATATCTTTGTAAGGTCAAAGGACAACCTTATTTCACATTACTATCTTAAGAGCAAAATAGCAGAAGCCCATTCAGTGAAAGAAAGTAGGATAGATTATGGGTAGGTACACATATAGAACAGAGCTGAATCACAGTGGAGGTGACAGCTTCCATGCAAGGCCCCCATGACTGACTAACGTTGCAGTTTGAAAGAGGCATCTAAGCGCTCACTCCTAAGCATGTGATAAGACTTAGGTGTAAGTACATTTAATTAGAGCATTACCCAGGACCTATCCAGATGTTATTACCTTTTATGTTTTTTTTTTCCTTTTGATCTCTTTATCCCACTTCTGTTGTCTTCAGAAAGCCAAGCTTGGTAAGCCAAACAAATTTTAAATATTCAGCTCTTAACATGTTTGAATACAGACAGTTCTCACAGTCAGCGTCCATTATTTTCTAGAGGTGTATACAGAGGATTATCACCATTAATGAGAATCATGGGCACATGTAAAAAAAACACAGAGACACCATAAAGAGTGTAGATATGTGTGTGTGTATAAAGAAGTATCATACTTGTGCAAAATACATGTTATATGCTTCATGAATATGCAAAAGCATCATTTCTTTCTCAATAAAATTTTTTGTGAAGTCCCTACTAAAATATCTGTCCCTAGAACACCCCTGAGGTCCATTATATAGCTCTGAGTTTATAATTCACACTTCAGTCCCTAATTTGCCAAATAATTCATGTCAAGCAAGAGTCCAACATGAAATGTCAACTGTTTCTTGAAAGAAAACAAACCATAACTATTGCATGTTCTAGGATTTTAAGAAATAAACATTTGAGGATTAGAGGCACCACTCACTAATAGTAGTAAGGGACAGGCTAATGCTTCTGAGAGTCCATTGGGTATCTATCCCTTTTCATCCACATCGCTTGATTTGAGAGACTTGAAATTAGGTTTCCCAGAGAAAAAAATGTGAAAGGCAAACAGAATCTCTTCTTTATATTACAGAATGTTCCAATTTTTATAATATTCCCCAGGACATGCTCCAGCCACATTCTGTTATTCATTCACACAGTAAACTTCATGCTGACATAACTTCTGAGAGAATCTCTGGGAATGCTAAAAGTAACCAAACTCTACCAAAGTTAAAAATCATCTCTCCACCAAATTAAACATTATCTAAGTTTCTCCATGCAGTTATTAAATACATAGAAGATCACCTCTGTGCATAATCTACAAATGGCTTAGATTACATATTAAAATTCTAATTAAAAGTCTTCATCTTATCTCAGTTGGCCAATTTGAGATTAGAGAGCAAATACAGGTTTGGCATGAAAGCTCACGCGGAATCAAGATTTCTGATGATCGCAACTTAGAAATTAGTGGCAGTGTTACAGAGTATTGCTAATAGAAATAAAATATTCCAAAACTATGAACAACTTCTGAGATCCTCCTTAGATGGTGAGTATAGAGTGACATGAAGAGATTCCCTGGTAACTTCTATTCCATAGGAATGTACTTGTTTGAGAGTTGGAGAAAGACATGAGAGATGAAATTTCTGCGAGTGTGAGAGGAAATTATGCCTATTATTACATTCGAAATTGAAATATTGAAAAATTCGATCATGTAATTTGACTGACTAGAAAACATATTATGCAATACAAACTAAGGCTTTTCAATATTTAAGATCCAGGTTAGAAGAAACATTAGATTTCCACTTAATCCATAACTAAGTGAAAACAGTATTTCTGAGAATGATGTTCTAAAAAGTCATGGAACATTTAATGGAAAATATTAGGAATCACTTCATACTATCTACCTGCTTACAACATTTTATAGTATGACCATTTGATAATTAGCCGAAGGAAAGATATGTGTTTTCCCTAACAATCCTCTCACTGCAAAGCAATAACACATTTTACAAAGTCTACCTCATCACTTCCTGATATACAGTTTAAATTAGATAAATTTGTTTCAGAAAAGCTCAATGAAGTATTTTACTCATTAATTAGTAAGCAAGCAGACATTTAGAAGTAACAGTGGTGTATTTTGCCTTCTTTATTCAAAGGTAGCTGCTGGAAGTCAACTCTAAGAACATGCACACGGAGACCAGAATGTGAACATTTTGAATGGTAACAAAGGGAAAGGACGTGTATTGCTGCGTATGAAAATGAAACAATATGTCTTCCATAAATGTTTCTATAAATGCGCTCTTAAATAGTCTGGGGCTTACATCACAATGAAAAAAAAAATGTCCATGTAGCTGATTGATGAGAGTTGATATTTAACACACAAGCATTTCATAGAAGTTGGGAAACTCCCAAAAGGAACTGGGCAGAAAAAAAGTAGTGAAGATTTTCCTACATTTATTTTGTACAGCATTTTTGAAAAATCTCAGAATATTCCAGAATATGCATATTTTCTTCAAGAATTGCCATTCTAGAAATTTTTCTTACAAAACATATGTTATTATTCTACATCCCATTCTTTAAGTGACACAGGACCTACCCAGCTTCTCCAACAGCTGACTGCAGAGCTGCACAGCGATTGGTAGAATATTATTCTGAGATAGGTAGAGCATCACATGAAAGTGCTCATCTCCCTTCCTTCTGTCATGTGGAGCCTTCTCCATCCAAATCTTCTGATAAAAGTCAGGATAAAGCATGATTTATTAACACGGTAAACTCCTTATACTCCTGACCTAAAATGTTACTGGACCTTTCCCTAGCTATTGCTATTTAAGGAAGTCTTTAAAAAACAATTTAATTTCCTTCCACCTAGTCAAGTTTTTCTCCACAGATAATTGGCTTTCATTATATGCACACACACACACACACAGACACACAAAATCAGTGAAGTCAGTATGCATGAGGCATTTAAATATTTTCAAATTAAAGTATACCTGTATTTATGTTAGGGTACCCAAACACACACTTCAGTTTGATTCTGTATAACTGATCTTATAACGTATGAGAAAGCACTGTGGAAATGCTAAAGGCTACACAGCCAAGTTAGTCATTAATAGTAGCAGAAGTCCAAATAAGTCAGTATTGCAGATGGCATATTTTTTTATTTTAAACAAGCACCTCATTGAAAAGCAATAGAGTCCCCTTGCTAATTTTACTGAATTTTTGCATGCTTACTATTAGAACACTCTAGTTTTATTTTCTGATTTTTTTCTAATATCATTTACACAACAGCCCTTTTGGGATTTATAGAACTTATCTCCAATATTATTGTCATCAAAAGTGTGTTTGAGATGCTAGTGCAGAATTGCTAATTGTTCATAAGTACCTTGAAACATTAGATTAGCAATGTTTATAATTATCTAAATATAGCATGACCATATGAAATCAATTACT